GACAGAGAGAAAGAAAAATGCCTTATGGAGTAGTGGGAGAGAGAAAAGAAGCAGACAAATAATATAGGACAGATTGAAACAAAAAAAACCAACAAAAACAAAAAATCCCCCCAACCTGCTGGATTCAGAGGGAAATAAATACACACTGGAAAAATAATTCCCTGGAAAGTGCATGCTGGGCAGTCTCAGGAATCTTGCTTTCTCTAGGCAATACTATGTACAAAAATGATTTTAAAAGTCAGATGCTTTTGAGGATGTTTACTCTTCAAGGAATGTCATGTCACAAAAGGAGGAGTCATCTCAGGACAGACCTTACACTCTCTCTAGGTAGACACTTTCAAATTTTTTTCTTTCTATTTTTCAAAGACACAGACTTTTCTCCAGTTTCTCCAAACAAAAGGCATTTCACATGTTTACCTGTTTCTCAAACCAGATTTTAACCAGAAGTGAGAGATCTGACAGAACAGATTCAACAGAAGGGTACTGGCATGAGCCAAAGACTAAGCCTCTGGAGTGAGTAATCAGCTTTAACACTGCCCAAGTGTGAAACAGAAGCGAAAAGGAGACAGAGGAAATGCAATTTTGTGACAATGCTGCTAAAGTTGGGCTTGCTTTCTCATGAGGTACTTGGTCCTCTCCGGGCAGCTCCTCTCTTACTGTCCAGGAAGAGCTGCTAACAAGCTCCCACCGGGTGTAAATGAGGACTAAGCCCCTGTCTGGGAGATGTGCTGCCACAGAATGGGTGGCTTTGTCCCAGTGTGTAAGATATGCTTGCAGGCTAAGGCACACAAAATGTTCCTCTCACACATGAAAAAGGGGCTGAGTGTGAGTGGGAGGACTCCAGAATGCAACAACAGAACAAAGAATACAGGGAGCAGCTGATCTGCTCCCCTCCTTATTAACAAGTTTGGCTGTGGCAGACAACACTGAGCTGGTGAGCATTAACATAGAGAGGGCAAGCTTCCCATTGCCCATGAGGAATGAAATCTTTGCTGAGAGAGCAGAAGCCACGTTCTTCAGCAAATTAGATGCATCAGCTGGGGTTTGGCAGAACCTCCTGAGCAAAGGACTCCAAATCTGCACTTAACCACTCACTTGGACAGTCTTTCAAGAGATCTTGAGTGTTCCTACTATGGACACTCACACGTTGCAACGTTAGGAAATCTTTCTGCAGGGAACACACATACCGATAACCTAATGCTTCTATGTGGCATAAGGCTTGACTATTTAGAAATGTTTTGGAAAGCATCAGAAATAGGACCCACAAAGATAAAATGAAAGACAAAATACGAAGTCAGAGATGTGAGGTACACCTTGGTGGTGATGTGGAACATCCTAGCCATGCCGGGAGTACAGACTGACCATCAGAGAGCACTCCTTCACACAGACACAGGTCAGGTGCATGCTGAGCTCAGAGCAGCTGGAATGGGCTATGAGATTGGAAAGCTAAAACTGATGATGCTAACTTGCGCTTTCAGGAAAAAAATGGCACAAAAAACCACCAGGAAAGGGTAGCACTCTATGTAAAAATATGCTGCTACTGGCTATAGACTTTTCAAAACCACAGTGCTTCACAACTGCAGTTGTAATGAATAAAACTGAAGGAGAGTTGATTGGCACACACTGAATCATTAAACTATTGGATCTTACTAAATAACAGGACAAACTGCTCTTTATGTAGCAACCTAGATCATGTAGGAAGGAAAAGAAGTAAAACAGAGGACATTTAATATACATTTTGTGCAGTCAGTAATACAAAATATCTGCTTCTAAAAATAACACAAAACATTTTCTTTACAGATGTGAATAATACACACTGTAAGTCTTCATGAAACTTGACAAGGAAAAAATCACACAACGCTGTATTTTTATAAATCTTAAACAAATGGAGAAGTTTCTATGAATCAAAGAGTTACCACTTCAACTGTGTTTTATAAAGTGGAAAAGACCAGTTATTCTGACACATTCTCTAGCCAAGCAATGGAACAACTGGTTTCAGCTCTCTACCAGCAGTAACTTGGAGGATTTAGCAGTATTCACTTTGGCATGCAAAACCAGACTGAGCAGATGATGCATCTTGATTGCATAAGATTAAAACAAAGGGCAGATAATTAAATATGAAATATGCTTGCAGGATGGTGTCATTTCTCTCCTTCATTCGCATCTCTACAATTTTAAACAAAATAACTAGTGGTTTCATTAGGAAACAATTGCAGCATTCTCACAGTCCCATGCAGGCAAATAGCTGCAGTCTAGTTTTACTGTTCTTACACCCACAGAGAATTCTGTTTTGTTTTGACCTCTCATTACTTTCCCTCACACACTTGGCTCCAAACATCAAATTTTGCCTCAGCCATTCAACAGTTATTCCTTTGGGCTGGTTTTTTTTCTTACCATTATGCATTCATATAGAACAGCTGGAACTAAGAAAAAGCACAGTTAATTATTTCTAAATTTCCCAAAGAAAACCTTTTTACTTTTCTTCAGTTTGAAATTATTTTTGGTTTGAGGAAGAAGAGAAAAATTGCCTCACATAAAACCTTGCATAGATCTCAAAAACTTAATGGAACATTTTAGCTTAAAAAACAGTGTAATTTTTGAGAAGGAGGTGGGTTCAGGTTTTCTCCCTTTTATTTCTAAAATAATATAAAAAGTCTAAACAAAGCGATTGTTGTGTCTTGAGGGGGGAACTGCTTTCTTTTATTATGACATGAGAACCACAAGAGAAGAGAATCTCTACCCCTCAAATACCAAGCAAATCTGTGCAAATCTACTTGCTGGGTTAGCCTATGAGCCCCAGCCAAGTAAGAATGGAAGAACCACCCAGAAAAAAACAAGACCAAAAACGGGCAACACCTGCCACATGCTCACAAACTAACAAATGGTTTTGGGGCAGATCAGGGGACATGGAGCAAGGTAGAGAGCAGGGAATTCTGAGTCTGACCAAGGGGAGAACAGTCAGGTATGAGGTAATATTGGTAGGAAAGAGTCTTGGTAAGGTAGACAAGTCAGGACCGACCATGAGGTTTTTTGGATATCGACGAGTCAGAATCTGCCTCTGGATTTAACACTCCGCTCCAGAAAAAAAATCCCATCAAAATTACCTTCAGGGCACCTCTGAAAAAATCCCTGACTCAAACAAACTATCCCTGACTATAACAAACTATGTATGGCTCTGCCCTAAGCTTCTTCTTTATAAGTCACAGAAATGACTTAATATCTGGACTTGTTTATGAAAGAATATCTAATTCTATCCAAATATCCAGTTTTTCCTACACTTATAAGAAAAAAGGAACTGAATGAGATTAGATAAATGAAACCTTGGCTATCCATTCATATTGTGGAATTGCAGAGAGATATTAACATGAATTTCTCAACTTATGAAATGGAGGAGATGGCATTAACTCTTCCACACAGGCAGGTCATCCTCTCAGCTCTTTGATGGGTCTTTGAGTTCAGCAGATTTAACAAAAGCAAAGGCAAGAAACAATAAAGCATTGGCAGCATGACCAAGCATCCTCCGCCTCTTAGTTACAAAATGACAAACCTGTAGCTACAATTACAGTCTAAGTCATTATTGCAATATTTCTCTAGATAAGCCTTTTCCAAAAGAAGAGGCTTTAGATCACCTATGTCTAATAAAATAGGCAAGCAGAATTAATATAAAAATATGAACCTTTGAGCTGTCACCATACATCCTGAACCAAAACCACGAGGCAGATGAACATTTCTTTTTGTTTTGCAGTTAACTTTAAATAATATGTGATGTGGTCTGACCTGGTAAAGCTCCTACTTCTCCTTATTGGTTGATCCCCAAACTCCATAAGCTGAAGGAATAACAAAATTTGCTGTATTTCTACATGCATTACAGTGTGAGTCACAGCTAAACCATGCTCAGAATGAAGTATTCCCTGTAGGTGGTGTGTAAACAGCTAATTTGGTGAAAAGATGTTATGCTAAAATGATCAACCATCAATTCTATGAGTGTATTGTACACTATTGGTGTATATCAGATTTCTTGACCTGTTTTGGTGGCACATAACTTCTGCAAAGACATCACTTTGAGAATTGATTATTAACTTTAATCCATTTTAAAACTCTCAATACAACATTTAGAAAATTTGTTCTTGAACCTTTCCATGGGCAGATCTTTACAGGGGCTGCACAGCTAGGAACACCCTGCTGACCGAGGAGGTGATAGGGCATTGATATAAGCAATATTCCAACTAGTTATTAACTCATTACAAAGTATTCCCCACGCCTGGCAACTGCTGCACCAGAGCTTAGCATGGAATACACGAGACAGTGATGCCAGGGCTCTGAAGCCAACATGGCTTTAGCCTCTTGCTGAAAGACAAAATACTTGGGGTTGCTAACGACTACTTGAAAGTCCCAGAATAAACCATCTCATCATCATGGCCCAAGCACCACTAAAAGCATTCTGTTGTTCTTACTTTTTCCAGTTAAAACCAAAAGCACTCAGAACCCAAAATATTTTTCCTTTGCTCCCAGAGCCAAAATGCCAAAAATGCTGTTTAGAGGTAGCTTGATCTCTACCCCAAGAAGAAGGGACCAGCTGCTCCATCTTTTTTTCACAATGCTCGCTACACTGTGGTGAACTAAGCCATGCAGTGGTTTGGGATCCACAACCACCAAGTCTTGCATTACAAAAAAAAGGAAATAAACCCTCCAAGGAAGAATGACTTCTAACTCAAAATTTCCCAGAGTGGCCCCAAGCACTCATCAGAAGAGACACAGGGAGAGAGCACTGAATTAACAACTGAAGCATAGTGCAACATAATTTCAGTTCTTAAAATAATCAGGCTGCAATACCACATGAAAAATCCAAGAAGCATCTGCAATGACATTCCATATTTTCCAGGAGAAAGAGGAGACAAATGGAGGAGACTGCACAAAGAGGTGTCAGACTCTGTATTAGCAACACAAGAGGCCCACTGTACAAAGCCCTTGTATCAGCCTCTGGTTGTGCACTCACTTACCTGACCAAGGGCAGGGAGTGCTGCATATCCCACGGGCTGATTTATCATTCCTTTCTGCTTCATGATGAGCATGCGTTTCTGCTCCTCGCTCAGGTGTGCCACGTGGGCTGGCACCTGGGCCTGTTGGGCCTGCTGCTGCTGCTGGATGTAGGGCACCATGGTGTTCTTCCCGGGGTTTGCCATTGCCGGGGCCATCATCTGACCCAGCTCAGTGCTGAAATGGGTCAGAGGTTTGGTGTTGCCATAAGAAAGCAGATTGGGCTGCTTGCCCAAGGAGTTTGTGACCAAATTATTTGGCTGCTGACTGATCATGTTCATATGATTTTGAGGGAGGTAGTTATTGATTGTGGTCTTCTGGGGGTTGTTTGCCATAGGAGGCACTACAGGGTTTTGGTTGTTAAAGGCTTGAGAATACATCATTGGGCTATTTGGTTTGTCTGCACTGAAGGGTGCTCCGTAGGGACTGGATGGAGGCCCCCCTGGTGACCAGCTTGAGGGCTGATTTGGGTGCTGCTGCTTCTGCTGCATGAGCTTGGCCCTTTGCTGCTGCTGGGCTGCCATCTGCTTGAGCTGCTCGGCTGGGGACAGGTCAGCGCTGGGGCCAGGCCCTGAGCCCACCACGGCCGAGGCCGCGCTCATCAGGAAGCCATTCCCGGAGCGCCCCTGCGTTTGTCCGGGAGTGTGGGCCTGGCCGGGGGTCTGAGGGGACTGCACCACACAGTTTGCTGGAGAGCCAGCAGGGACTGGGGCCAGCGGCGCGCTGGATGCTGAGGCAACGCTGGAGCCTGAGGAGATGTTGGAAAATGGAGGACCGGAAGAAGATGGTCTGACCTGGGGAGATCCCAATGGGACATGAGTGAATGGAGAATGGGATGGATCACTTTTCACGCTCGCGCTCTCCTGAGTCTCTGTGGCAGGCCTGGGATATTCAGGCTCCTTCTTCTCTTCAAAGTCTTCATTGAACAAATCCTGTATATCATCTTCTGGGACGGTGTTCGCCAGCTCGTCTATGAGCTCCTGCCACTCCTGATCATTTAGGTTAATGTCTGAGAAGAGCTTGTTCTGATTGGAAAGAGATGTTTCAGAAGTGTCTATGCAGTTGGAGTCATCCAGGGGCTCTTGCTTTAGCTCCTTGTTGTGCAGGATGTTAAAACCATCATCCAGCTCGCTGCAGCCGTTAACAGGGAGCTTTATCTCAGAAAGCCCACCGTTTTCACCCAAGTCTTCCAGACTACTCCTGTGAGTTCCACTGTTCTGCAGGAGCACAGGAGCTTTCATGTCAAGCTGGTGAAGAGGAGAAACAGCAGGCAAAGGCAGATTAATGGGCAAGCTGTTGATTGCCTCAATGCCTGGCCCATCCTTGCGTGTCCGCTTGCTGGTTGGAGAAAAGCCCCCATCGCAAACTCCATTCTGCTGCTCTCCATTGAGAGGTGAACGTGCGCCTTCCAACTTCCTTTTGACTGTCTCTTGAAGCTTAAAGAAAACAAGAGGAAAGGAAAAAATTAACCATTTGCAGACGCAAAAGAAGTGCTCATGGGCACTGTGACAAGAGGCTCCTCATCAAGCCAGTGACAATAAGTTTCAAAACTGGTTAGGAGGTTTCTCTGATTTCATTCTTATGCCTTGATCACTTTGAAAACACAGTCTAAAAACCCCCCAACAACCAAACACTTCCCACTGTCCCAAACCAAACCTTCCTTTGACTAGGAAAGCAGAACTGTAAAATATGTCTGTGCTTTCCAAGCTGAATCTGTGCTAGCTTCCAAGAAATTTAGGGAGCAAGTTGACTAATTTGACATTTTAGTGCCTAATACAGGGATAAGATTTAAACAGTGTGCCTAACACAGTGAGGAGTCTTAAAATGGAATTTTAAAAAAGAGAAAAAAGGAATCACTAAAACTTACTAGTCACTCCAAATTTTTTTGTTGTTGTTGGAAGTTTCTAGAAGCTTCTTAAAAAAGTAACTGCAATATAATTGATTGACTACTTATATTGAAATGTGTTGTTGACAAAAAAAAAATTGCATAGTTTCATTTGCTTAGCCCTATGTTCTTGGCTAACACATTGAGAATCACTTTTAAGGGAGAAAAAAAAAATCCACCCTAGAAAACAGAAGGTGCTTTGCATAACTTTAACTCAATCAAATAATGAAAAAAAAAAAAGGAATCAACTATGTGACTATGTGCTAAGGGCTAACATAAAACATAAATAGCTAACAGAAATAATGGCCAGGCAAGTCTACAGAAAAGCAAATAAATTGGAATATAGGAATTTTATAAAAAAATAGTGTATTAACATCAGTTTTGAATCTGGTTGTAGAAGCATAGCAAAGAACTGCAGCAAGCAGCAGTCCTCCCCACTCACACCCAAGCAGAGTCCTTTACTTATGTACCAGGCTAAAAAAAGCATCTCTCTTCACTAAGGCAAAAAACAATAGTGGGGAGGGGAGGAAGCAAAGAGGTCACAGCTCCAGCAAACGCCTTCAGGACACGCTTGCATCCTTGATACTAGAACAATAGAAGACAAAATACTGAAAGATTTTATCAGTTTTTAAAGTATTCTTACTGGTAGGAAAGTCCCAGATATGCAACTCCCACCCCTTCCCTAACCTAGAGGTCCTCAACCTTCTTTCTTCTCATAATCCAGATCTCATTTATTTCTCCCCTCCCAGAGGGCTGGTCCCCCTTTCATCCCATGCATAAGATGGGCAAGCAAACCCGTATCTTGCCCGGGTTCTGGGAAGGCTGTGCCCTTCTCTTGCCCCTCTTTCATCACACAGTGCAGAGGGATGTGGCCAGCACAGGCATTGCTGCAGCCACAGCTCAGCGTGCATGGGACACCAAGCTACTGTGAGGCTGCTCTTTTGCAGAGAGCCAGGCAGAAAGACAGTGCCATGAGCCTAAGCAGACCATCAACTCCTTGATTTTCACTGGAGCAGATCAGCTTTTTAATGTGGGAAGTCACTGTTGGCATAAGTGGCCAAGACTTTACTGCCTGTTCCACCCTGCACAAAGCCAGTGTGTGCCAAGCCTCCTGCAGGCAGAAATTCCTCCCCTTTGTGCTTCTGTGGTGCCACACAGACCAGCCGCCCTGTAACCACAGCCTCTGCCCCATGGCTGGGCTCCCCTCTCCAGTGTCTGGTCTCAAAACCCTGAATTTGGAGAGGTGTGGATGCTCATCTTGGAGATGAGAAGGTTCTGGGCAGACCTTTATAGCACCTTCCAGCACCCAGAGGGCCTACAAGAGAGCTGGAGAAGGACTTCTACAAGTGACAGGACAAGTTTGAAATGGATTCAAACTGACAGAAGGTGGGTTTAGGTTAGATATTAGTAAGAAATTCTTCCCGGTGAGGATGGTGAGGTGTTGGCACAGGTTGGTCAGTTGATGTAATGGGTTAAAATAGCATATTTATGTAAATGTAAAAATAGTATACTTAAAAACTGCCCTTAATGGGCCCCTCCCACAATTTACAGCTGAAATCACCCATTTCAGCTCCTAAGCCATCACACTGCAAAGTCCCTATTGCCACAGCAGAAAAACTGCATTCCCCCAACAGCAAGTGACTCAAGAGTGAGCCCAATGGGAATGCTCAGGCAAAACCAGGATTTGAAGAAATGTTCAAAATGTGTCATGGCCCTTTACCCCAACTTCATATTGATCAGTGCTGGGATAAAGTAAGAACAGGACATGGTGGCAGGCTTCTCATCATGAAGTAAAGTTCTATAAGGAAAATATGGGGGAAAAAATTCCCTAATGACAAGGCAGGGACCAGTGAGAGTGATTATCTCCTGAGGAATACAAGTGAACTGACTCCATACATTTTGCAAGTTTGAATGAATACTCTACAAAAATATTGGTGAGAGTGATATGCTTTAACATGGTTTCACACTTCCAGGTTTTAAAACATTTACCATTTTATCCTGAATCTATCACCTTATTTGTATATGAATATACAAATTCAAAAGAATTTTCCAAAAAAATCAAAACTATCTAGTGGAAAATAACCAAATAACCAGCCCTAAAAATATCAGTTCCTAAAGTTTCATCATGTGCTGGAACTTGTATGTCCCCCTGTACAAATAGACAGTGACTTTAGCCCAGTATATAAATATTCATAATCATGTTATTATGTATTACAACAAAAAGCAGCTTGACATGAAAACTATTTTCTATGAAATATGAAACATACAGAAGTCGTGCCTTTTTGTAAAAAGAAATTAAATTAAATCTATTCTAATTTTGTTTATCCACATCGTTCTCCTTCAGAAGCTTTTGGATTTGGGGGGGCTAACAGGCACTAATATTTTTGTCTTCTTTGTTTGCTCATTGAAAAACTGTAGGTAGACAAAGACTTAATGTGAAAGGTTTGTTAGAAGGCAACATGCTGGGGAAGCCTCTTGATTCCAGCATTTTGGGGGAGTTGGGAGCCATGACAATAAATGTATCTCCTTTTTTTTGAGGTACAATGCAGAAATACTCTTATCAAATGATTTTAATGAAATATTTCCTTTTCATATCTTGATTTAATTCCCAATCACCATATGAACTCTTGAATGGTTTGGATATCCTACACTGAGCATATACTGGCAAACAGTTTACCACAATCAGGATTCCAGAGTGTCTTAGACTAAAACCCCAGCACTTCCCCTTCCCTCTATAAACACAATCCCTGAAGTAAAATAGTACCTTTTAAAGTACCCTCTCTCTCCTTCTCAGTACAAGCACACAGTTTGTGCATGTTTTATGGCATGCATTGTGAAGATATTAGCAGGAGCTGAGAGATTTAGGTCTCGGAACAGAAGATTGTTGACACATAGAATAAAAACAAAAGGAAAATATCAAAATCAAAGGAAAATATTGAAATAAAACAACCCCCTTTCAGCTTCACAAACTTTTAGCTTTATTCACACAAAATACTTGGCTGATGAATCTTCATTTCACTGCTGTTTTCTACCCCAAAGCACAAGAGGGGGAAGCAGGACTATCAGTTCTTTATAAGCCTTTGAAAAAACTCTAGTCGCAGACTGAGAAAAGGTCAGATTTTGGCAGGTTGACTTTTTAAATGGCTCTCGGTTGGAGGAGAGGCAGGGGCACAGAAACACAAACACACACCGAGCTGAAGGGTTGGGATGCAGCCCATCCTGAAACCCTGGCCAGCGCTGCTCGGACAGGCCGTGGCAGAGCCAGCAGATGCACGGCAGTGTGGGGAGGCTGTGGCAGGGCTTTCATCAGTGAGGAGAGGCTGCTGCGCTTCATCTCCCCAGCAGCAATCCATCTCTCAAAAGGAACGAGACAGAGGTGCAGTTGTTATAGCAACAGCCGGGCCCATCCTCCACCAGGAGCTGCCTTGGTGGGCGGCTGCTCCAGCCCCAGCGCACGGCAGGGACTGAGGCTGTGGCACCAGAACATCCTTTCATTGCTCCTCAAAGAACAGCACAAAAACCAGGGCGAGGCGGGGAGCCGAGAGGATAAATTCTCTCTATGCCCTGTTCACAGGGTCTGACACAGGTCCACTGCTCCTCTGAGCCCCCAGAGCAGGAGGCTGATGTCACTTTGTCACGTGTTTTTGTGTACCAGCTGCATGCAGCCACTGACTTTCCTCTGCCTAGGGCAGCTCCAGCAGCTTCAATACAAGACAAAGGCAGCAATTCTGAGAGGTTTGGTGCACTTGGCTTCCCAGCTCTGCTGGAATGTGCCCTGCTCTGGAGTTATCTTTGGGCTTTGGCTAGTTTCTCTGCTTTCCCACCAGGAGCAAAGTCCATCTCACTCAGAGGATATGCATGGTTACAAAAAACAGGGCTTATTATCTTCTCCACATGCTCTTCTGAGACTCTTTCTGTTAAAAATTGATCATTTCAGTTCTTCATGTTGAATCAGTCTGGCCCACCAGTCACCATGACCTTCAGTTCCTTTCCATGAAATGAATTAAAGTCTTGGGTCTTCCTCTAGGGTTTCTACTCTCCCTCCCAACAGTGTGACCATGTTCACAGGGGTCTTAGGATGAGGGAAGAGATGAGGATCTGACTCCATGTTTCAGAAGGCTGATTTATTATTTTATTATATATATTACATTACAACTATACTTAAAGAATAGAAGAAAGGATTTCATCAGAAGGCTGGCTAAGAATAGAATAGGAAAGAATGATAGCAAAGGTTTGTGGCTCGGCTCTCTGTCCAAGCCAGCTGACTGTGACTGGCCATTAATTACAAACATCCAACATGGGCCAATCACAGATGCACCTGTTGCATTCCACAGCAGCAGATAATGATTGTTTACATTTTGTTCCTGAGGCCTCTTGGCTTCTCAGGAGGAAAAATCCTAAGGAAAGAAATTTTCATAAAAGAGGTCTGCAACACACCAGTGTGTCTGTTCCTGAGTTTTCCCCCTCTTTCTTCTCCCTTCTTCTCCTAGAGCTTCTATAGAAAGATCTTGGTACTTCTTACCTCCAACAGGGAGTAGTTACCATGAGCTC